AAATGCACCCTCACCCTCACTGCCCGCCGCCCGCATCCCACTCCCGCTGGCGTCCCAGGCTTGCACGCACCGGGCGGGCGGGGGCGAGGGAGCGCAGCCTGGGAGCCGCGTGACCTATTTCATTCCTGAGGTCTCCCTGGAGAGTCCCAGTCTCCAGAGGCCACTTCTCCCCGCCTTTCCCTAGTCGAAAGAATTGCTTAGGGTGGTACTCCGGATTCACAGCAGTGTTTGGGGTGCCAGGATGGGGTGGGGGCAGAGCTTAAAGCAGCAAAATGCGCCGTCGCCTATTCTAGAATCGCCCTCGACCACATTGCAACCCCATTCCAAAGGGGTCTCCTTCGTAAGTGTGCCCTGGACCTGGTTCATTAATTACTGTTCCCCGGAACACTGGCCGAACTGGATATAGGGTGCGGCCATGGAACTCATCATTAGTATCAAATTGCACTTATTAAGTGCTCCTTGAGCTGTGTTTTCGGGTGGAAATCATTTACTGCGTTCCTGCAGAAGCTTCCTGCGGATGCTGGCCCCAAACCAATTCATTTCGAGTAACAGTGTTAATTTATTTTTCCATTTTAACACATCAATAGGTTCTAAAATTAAGAACCTGATAGTGGGCTGCTCTTATGAGCCTATTTCTCCTCTGGGTACAAAAAACCAGGCACCTAATAGATCTTGAATTTAAAGATGAGTTCCCAGTTTAAAGATGGGAGAAGGAAAAGGCATGATATTCTGGTCTTCCCCTGTCAGCAGCGAAGGTTTTTCCAACCTCCTTTCTTCACACTCACTGAAGGGCTCCTGTACAGTAGACATGGTCTGCAGGACACAGGACCCCAGAACTCCTCCTGTTTTTCTCTGGCTGCCCTGCTCACTGTCATTTCTTACCCCAGCCTTGCAGGCTCATCCGCCTTAACATCCCCTTCTCCCTTCTCCTCACCCATCAACCAACTCTAGCCTCTGCAAGATCTCTTCAGGTCTCCTCTCCCTGCATGCAGTTCTCAACTACAAATCAGCAGTTTGGGGGTAGGGCCCAGATTCTGTGTTTGCTACCCTCTCTCCCAGTGATCATAATGATGCTGGTCCATGGACCACACTTGGAGAGCAAGGTTCTATGGAGTTTTAAGAATCGCTTGTACCTGATGGGGAGTCATCAGACACCTGTACGTATGGGGAACCATGCTAATGCTGAGCGTGCCAATTCAGTAAGGTGGAGTCTGTCTACTCATAGACATATGTATGGCCTGGTGGTGACAGACACATAAAACCGCAATGACACCCGGCAGCAAATGCTGTAATAAAGGGATGTGCATCGTCCTCTCCAGTGCTATGTGATGAATCAAAGCACTTGTAGGAAATAGTGATGAAAAACAGTTGTTTACACCCAGCAGCTGCAGTCTGCTGCAGTCCAGACTACCGGCCAACATTTAGGAGCCTCATATCGGCAGGCAGTTTAGGGAAAGCACCAGCCAGACACTCTTCTGGTTGATAACACTGACACAGGCCCGGACCTACAGAGCTTCTAGTAGTGAAATTTATTCCCTGTTTAATGTCTTTGGAAATAAGAAAGGAACAAAGAACTGGGTTGGGGAAGTGGAACGGTAATGAGGTGGGTGGCAGCGGTATGGGTGTTTCTGCAGTGAAACCTGGAAAGAGTTTAAGGAAGAAACAGGGCAGTTACTAGTAGCTGTGCATTCACAGTCCTGCTGTTCCCCTTCCCCTTGAATGATTACTTGTAACTAACAGAGTGCCAACTTTACTGTACTCCTATGTGTATGTTCATTGTGTATTTGTTCGGACTTTGGTTGCCAAGGGGCAGAAATCCCATTCAAACCAGCTTAAGAAAACATGGGTGTTGTCTGGCATGGCTGGGAAGGACCCACACAGTGATGCAAAGAGAAGAAGGAGAAGCTGTGGACTGTGTGCTGAGACTCCCTGTCCCTGACTTAGTTCTTGTCCTTGCCAGCCTCCAACTGTCTTCTCCTAGACAAGCATCTCCCATGCAGCCATCAGGTCGGCCCCGGCAGCCCCCGGCTTGCATGTTGAGACACCTCCCTAGCTGGTGAGAGGAATTCCCAAAGAACCGGCCAGCCTGGGGTGGCCCAGCCCTGAACCAGCCATGTGGCTAATGGGATGGGACGAATCGGTGGCCAGGCCCGGATTGTGCAGAGTCCCGCAATGCATTTCCACCTGAACGTCACCGAACGGGCATTTCCCTAGAGGGAAAGGTGAGGTGGGACACAGGGTGGAGAGAGACTGGGTGTCCTCTACAGCTTCGAATGTGGTGGGAAGACAGGTTTTCACAGCCTTCTGTAAGGCAGTCAAGAAGTAGCTGTCTGCAAAGCTGCTTCTCAGTTTATTTACCACCATTGCAGGACGCTGTAGGAGATGCCCTCAATATGTGACATTTACTATCTTTTCATCACTTATCTTTTCTGCCACTTTTTAAAATAACTTTGGCAAGAAATTGTAAACCTAAACCAGTGATGGCGAACCTATGACACGCGTGTCAGAGGTGACACGTGAACTCATTTTTTTGGTTGATTTTTCTTTGCTAAATGCATTTAAATATATAAAATACATATCAAAAATATAAGTCTTTGTTTTACTATGGTTGCAAATATCAAAAAATTTCTATATGTGACACGGCACCAGAGTTAAGTTAGGGTTTTTCAAAATGCTGACACGCCGAGCTCAAAAGGTTCGCCATCACTGACCTAAAGCATTCAAGCATGATCTGGCATTTTCACAGCCTATGCTAACAGTTACTGTTTGTGAGAATAAAAGCTCTTGCCCACGTTAATCTACACAGTGTCTTCGCCAACTTCACCCTGTACCTGCATCTCCTAACTCTTCTTAGTAATTGAATGTGTACGTCATGGGGTCCCAGGTTACTGGCTGGAGCAAGTCCGAACCCGAGCCAGTACTGCTTGGTGTCCGTGGTGTCGAAATGCTACTCGCCCGCTTCTTTCCTGCGTGTCGTGATGATTACTAGTCAGTTTCACTCTATGTTTTAGTTGGTATTCTGACCTGGATCAGATTGACCACACATTCTTCTGCCCAGCCAAGGGTCAGTGTCATGCCTGAGAATAAATCATGACTCTAAGTTTAAAGTTTTAATAATTCTTTATCTTACAGTAAATTTTATTGCAGAAGGTGCCTATTTCAGAAGTGTACAGCATGATGAAGCGATACCAGATCAATCTAACCACTGAGAGAAATAGCCCCTTACTGGCCTTTTTCTTGCCGCTCCTACTTATTATCCACGTGGGGAGAAGGCAACCACTATTCCACATTCGAACACCATAGATTAGGTTTACCTGGGTTTGAACTTTACATAAATGGAATCATACACCACATATACTATTGTGCTGGCTTCTTTCACTCACCATGATTTCTGTAAGGTTTCACCTTTTTAATTGCTGTGTACTATTATTGTAGAACATGCCCCAGTTTTAAAATCCATCCTCTATTCATCGCCCTGGGGTTGTTCTCTGGTTTTGACTATTAGGAATAAAATCATAAACATCCTTGTACATGTCATGTGATGTTCATATGTGTATATTTCATTGGGCATGTCCCATAGGATGAAGAATTTCTCCATCAAAGTATATTTTCATGTTTAATCCTCTATTAAAACAAACCTGACTGCTATTTAAGGACATTGAGGTGCCTACAAAAAAAAATCATAACACATATGACCTTTCCCCCTTTACAAGTCCCTCTAAACTTTGAATAGAGGAGGAAGATATTTCATGAGAAAATCAAAGACATAAAGAAAGGAAACATCACTGAAAATGCTTAGTCTGAGAGTCTGTGAGAAAGGAGAGCTCCTTTGTTAGTGCCAACACTGCCTCATTTCTAATATGCTTTTAAGTTTTTAAAATTGTATTAAATTTTAAATATCTTTTTCTGACTATGAAGTAATACATATTCATGACAGAAATTCTGGAGCCTGCAACTAAAATTAAAAAGTAAAGCTACCTGTATTCTCACTTCCAGAGATAGCCACTGGGAACTTCTGTTAATATACATTTTTAATGCATTTGTTTGGGATTTTTTTCTTTTGGCAGACTAAGTTGACAAATTACTTCCAGAAATATTTTATTCTCATTGTTGCACAGAGCTACAGTTTTCCTTTTTCTTTGGATCTGAGCTGCTGGCTAGTC